TTTTGCATATATCTCGGAAACGAAAAAGAATTTCTGAATAGTTGTTGAACAAAAAGTGTTCAAAATCATAAGAGCTTTAAGGTGATATCAAGATAAAGGGACTTGCCCCTCAAAATAAGGGTTGATAGGGGCCGAAAGTCTTTCGCCAATAACTCTTAAACGATCAATATTTTGTAGTACATTACTAAGGCAGAATAGATCATCTTCACACTCCTTAACTATATAACGTTGTTGGCATCATATGTTACGTTATAAGGGGACAATAGGGGCCAGAATGCTAAATCTTTGACGCTTTATATCTCGAAAGTGGGAAATATCTTGATAAGCAATATTGAATAAAAGATGTTCACAATAACGTTCTGAACAATATGTTACCTTTCTATTTTTGCTAAACGTTACCATTAAGGAGTTGAAGGGCCGGCCCCTATTATTTCTTTTGCAGATATTTCGGAAACGAAAAAAAAATGTAGAATAGTTGTTGAACAAAAAATGTTCAAAATCATGAGAGCTGTAAGAAGATATCAAGAAAATAGGGCTGGCCCCTCAAAATAGGGACCAAGATGGGCCGAAAGTCTTTAATCTATAATCTTTAATGATCAACATTTTGTTATAGATTACTGAAGCAAAATTGATCGTCTTAACAATTTATTTATATCATTATATTTGAACGAAAGTCTCAGTCAAATTCTTATCTCATCTTATCAAAAATCGGACGGAAGACCCACTCGTTGCTGGCAACGAGATCGCATCTAGTTATTATTATTTTTTTCTGTCCAAATTTTGTGCAGACGATTTCTCAGAGATGGTTGGATGGATTCACTTGAAATTTTCAGAGATGATGTATCATGATCTAAACCTTATTCACTTTTTTTATTTTTTGGAAATTCACTTCCGGTCGGAAGTTATCGCCCTTTAATCGAATTTTTAGTGACCATTTTGTCTACACAAAAACTCAAAAACGACAAAAGCTAGAGTGCTGAAATTTTCAGTGATAATAGAGGACATGTTCTAGTTGTGCACCTCAGTTTTCAAATTTTCTGGAAGTGCCTAGTATGGAAGCTCGGTAGGGGTCAAAATTTAGGACACGAATCAGGAGTGAATTTTCGAGACATTTTTTATCATATCTTCAAAACTATGAATATTTTCTTAAATCACGTTGAACAGAAATTGTGCAGAATTACTAGATGTTTTATATGATATCAAGAAAAAAGGGCTGACTCATCACATTAGGGGCCAAAAGGGGCAAAAAGTCTTAAATCCATAACTCTTTAACGATCAATATTTTGTTATACATTACTGAAGCAAAAATGTTTATCTGAACAATCTACAACTATATATTATAATAAAAATCTCATCTGTTACATAATTAGGGGCCATAAGGGACCAGAATGCTAAATCTTTGACGCTTTATATCTCGAAAGTGGGAAATATTTTGATAAGCAATATTGAACAAAAGATGTTCAAAATAATGTTCTAAACAATATGCAACCTTTCAATATTTGCTAAACGTCCCCATTAAGGAGTTGAAGGGCCGGCCCCTAAATATTTCTTTTGCATATATCTCAGTAACGAAAAAGAATTTCTGAATAGTTGTTGAACAAAATGTGTTCAAAATCATAAGAGCTTTAAGGTGAAATCAAGAAAAAGGGGCTGGCCCCTCAAATCGGGGCCAAAAGGGGCAAAAAGTCTTTCATCAATAACTCTTTAACGATCAATATTTTGTTATACATTACTGAAGCAAAAATGTTTATCTGAACAATCTACAACTATATATTATAATAAAAATCTCATATGTTACATAATTAGGGGCCATAAGGGGCCAGAATGCTAAATCTTTGACGCTTTATATCTCGAAAGTGGGAAATATTTTGATAAGCAATATTGAATAGAAGATGTTCACAATAATGTTCTGAACAATGTTTCCTTTCAATTTTTGCTAAACGTCTCCATTAAGGAGTTGAAGGGCCGGCCCGTAAATATTTCTTTTGCACATATATCGGAAACGAAAAAGAATTTCTGAATAGTTGTTGAACAAAAAGTGTTCAAAATCATAAGAGCTTTAAGGTGATATCAAGAAAAAGGGACTTGCCCCTCAAAATAAGGGCTGATAGGGGCCGAAAGTCTTTCATCAATAACTCTTAAACGATCAATATTTTGTAATACATTACTAAGGCAGAATAGATCATCTTCACACTCCTTAACTATATAACGTTGTTGGCATCATATGTTTCGTTATAAGGGGACAATAGGGGCCAGAATGCTAAATCTTTGACGTTAAAAAGGGACATTAGGGGCCAGAATGCTTAATCTTTGACGCTTTATATCTCGAAAGTGGGAAATATCTTGATAAGCAATATTGAATAAAAGATGTTCACAATAACGTTCTGAACAATATGGTACCTTTAAATTTTTGCTGAACGTTCCCATTAAGGAGTTGAAGGGCCGGCCCCTATTATTTCTTTTGCAGATATTTCGGAAACGAAAAAAAATGTAGAATAGTTGTTGAACAAAAAGTGTTCAAAATCATGAGAGCTGTAAGAAGATAGCAAGAAAATAGGGCTGGCCTCTCAAAATAGGGACCAAGACGGGCCGAAAGTCTTTAATCTATAATCTTTAATGATCAACATTTTGTTATAGATTACTGAAGCAAAATTGTTCATCTTAACAATTTATTTATATCATTATATTTGAACAAAAGACTCAGTCAAATTCTTATCTCATCTTATCAAAAATCGGACGGAAGACCCACTCGTTGCTCGCAACGAGATCGCATCTAGTCTTCTTCTTCTTCTTCTTCTTCATCCAAATTTTGTCCAGGCCGTAACTTTAATACCCTTTGACATTAAGACTTCAAACTTGGAACATAGATAGATGACATTGAGAAGGAGTGCACCCCACCAACATTTTGACCTTGACCTATTTATAAGGTCAAGGTCAATCTTTTACATCAAAATAGAGTTCAGCCCATAACTTGAGATCCCTTTGATATTAGGACTTCAAACTTGTAACATAGGAAGAAGACCTTGAGACAAAATGCACTGCATTAGAATTTTGACCTTGACCCCTTTCTGCCTTCAAGGTCAAATAGGGAAAAAACACGATCTGACCATAACTTGAGAACCTTTTGACATTAAGACTTCAAACTTAAAACATGCAGAGGTGGTGTAAAGGAGGGATGCATGCCACCAAAATTTTTGACCTTGATTCAATTATTATAAGGTCAAGGTCAATCTTTAACATCAAAATAGAGTCCAAGCCATAGCTTGAGTACCCTTTTATATTAGGACTTCAAACTTGTAACAGAGAAAGAAGACATTGATACAAGATGCAACACACCAAAATTTTTGACCTTGACCTCTTTTCTTCCTCAAGGTCAAATAGGGAAAAAACTTGATTAGACCATTACTTAAGAATCCTTTGTTATAAAGACTTCAGACATGGAACATGCAGAAGTGGTATAAAGGAGGGATGCATGCCACCAAAATTTTTGACCTTGATCTAATTATTATAAGGTCAAGGTCAATCTTTTACATCAAAATAGAGTCCAGGCCTTAGCTTGAGTACCCTTTGATATAAGGACTTCAAACTTGTAACATAGAAAGAAGACATTGTTACAAGATGCAACACTTTAAAGTTTTGACCTTGACCCCTTTCTTCAAGGTCAAATAGAGAAAACATGACTAGACCATAACTTGAGAACCCTGACATTAAGACTTCAAACTTGGAACATGGAGAGGTGGTATAGAGGAAGGGTGAATGGCAACATTTTTTTCACCTTGACCTATTAATAAAGTCAAGGTCAATCGTTTACATGAAAATATAGTCTAGGTCATAACTTGAGAACTTTTTGACATTAGGATTTCAAACTTGGAACAAGGAAAGACAACATTGAGACTAAATGCACTGCATCAAAATATTTGACCTTGACCCCTTTCTTCAAGGTCAAATAGAGAAAACATGACTAGACCATAACTTGAGAACCCTGACATTAAGACTTCAAACTTGGAACATGGAGAGGTGGTATAGAGGAAGGGTGAATGGCAACATTTTTTTCACCTTGACCTATTAATAAAGTCAAGGTCAATCGTTTACATGAAAATATAGTCTAGGTCATAACTTGAGAACTTTTTGACATTAAGATTTCAAACTTGGAACAAGGAAAGACAACATTGAGACTAAATGCACTGCATCAAAATATTTGACCTTGACCCCTTTCTTCAAGGTCAAATAGGGAAAACATGACTAGACCATAACTTGAGAACCCTGACATTAAGACTTCAAACTTGGAACATGGAGAGGTGGTATAGAGGAAGGGTGAATGGCAACATTTTTTTCACCTTGACCTATTAATAAAGTCAAGGTCAATCGTTTACATGAAAATATAGTCTAGGTCATAACTTGAGAACTTTTTGACATTAGGATTTCAAACTTGGAACAAGGAAAGACAACATTGAGACTAAATGCACTGCATCAAAATATTTGACCTTGACCCCTTTCTTCAAGGTCAAATAGAGAAAACATGACTAGACCATAACTTGAGAATCCTGACATTAAGACTTCAAACTTGGAACATGGAGAGGTGGTATAGAGGAAGGGTGAATGGCAACATTTTTTTCACCTTGACCTATTAATAAAGTCAAGGTCAATTGTTTACATGAAAATATAGTCTAGGTCATAACTTGAGAACTTTTTGACATTAAGATTTCAAACTTGGAACAAGGAAAAACAACATTGATACTAAATGCACTGCATCAAAATATTTGACCTTGACCACTTTCTTCAAGGTCAAATTAAGAAAAACACGACCAGACCATTACTTGAGATCCGTTTGACATGAAGACTTGAAATTTTGTACACAGACTTTGGGAGTTGAGATGCACTGCATTATTATTTTTGACCCTGATCATATATTTGCACTCGTTAATATTGGTAATGAAGGGGAAACATGTGTTTTTTTGTAAAAAAAAAACAATACCCACTGGTCTTTTCTATTTTTATAGATGTGAAAACAACGACTATCTGGAGATATTTCATTCTGGTAGAAGTGTTGGAGAAAAGTATTCTGTGAAGCACTGTGGTAGACAATTTCCTGGCCCCATTCTCGCTGAAAAGCAACTAGAAATCAAATTTATTTCAAGGTGGAATTCCAGAAACAGTACAGGATTTGAAGCCAGATATGAGTTTGTTCATCCAGACTCTCTGAATACAAGTAAGTCAGCATTTACCTGAAAACAGTTAAGTAAGTACCAGCAATACTTGGACAGACGGACAACATCTCTGAAAGCAAGACAGCCTGTCTAAGAAAAGAAAATATGCTGAAAGAGAAATTTCTTGGCATGAATTTTGGTTTTAAAGTATCAGTCTCAAGCTCTGAAATGTAAAAAAAAAAAAAACATGTCAATCCATAGCAGATTTTAGTGCACCTGAACCTTGTGGCTCAGATGAGTTTTCTGATCAAAGTTTAACTGTCTGTTAGTTAACTTTTTACAGTTTTTGATTAATTATTCAGAACCACTGGGCCAATTTTCAACCAAACTTGGCACATAGTATATTTGGATGAAAGGTATTAAAGTTTATTCAAATAAAAGGCCTTTTAAAAGGAGTTTAAAAAAACAGCATAACATATGATTTTGTTATGTAATGGAATTCATTATCTCTCCTCATTGGGGGTGGGGGGTGGGGGGTTGTAAGTGTAAAACTCTTCTTAAAAACCACTGGAACAGAAAAGATTAAACAAGAGAAAGCTTCCTTACATATAGTAAAACCTTGTTATTAGGTCATCTGAGTCAAAGGCTCAAGGAGATAATGCTATGGCCATTTGTGCAGTGTTGGTAAACTTTTTTAGAATATGGGCCATATCTCAAAAACCCCTCAGCCAGTTTTTGTCAAATTTGTCACAGAGTATCCTTGGCCCAAGGGCTCTCGTTTTTACTAAAACTAGGGATGAGACCCATAAACAAGGGGAGATAATTATGAAAATAAAACAAAAGTACTGGTTGCTAAAAAAACTTCTCAAGAACCACTGGGCAGATTATCACCAAACTTACATACAAGAGTGAGGATATGTTGAAGAATAAAAATTGGTCACCTCAGAGTATGTCAACTGAAAAGTAGGTCACAGTGACTTACTTTTTAATTATATGGATCATCTTTTTCAATTCATTTAAGGTCAGTATTTCAGATACTTTGAGGTTTAGAACCATCGAACCCAGTAAGTTGATGCATCTTGGGGCTTTAAAACATATCTTTGAAAAAGGCAGTCACAGTGACCTACTTTTAAATTTTTCAGGCATTCATTTTCAAATTGTTTTAGAGGCATATTTTGGACACTTTAAGGCCTATGAATATCAAACTTTGTCAGTTGATGCATCTAGGCTCCTCAGAGTACATTAACTGAAAAGTAGGTCACTGTGACCTACTTTTTGAAATTTTATGCCAATATTCAAATATTTCAGGCTTAAAATTATCAAACTTCGTCGGTTGAAGCATCTAAGCTAAGAACCATTAAACTTTGTCAGTTGAAGCATATTGAGTCCTAGTAGAACATCAACTGAAAAGTAGGTCAACATGACCTTTAAAATTTTATAGCTTTGTTTAAATGTTTCAGGTACTAATTGGCTTAGAATCATCGAACTGTGTCAGTTGATCCATCTTGGGTCCTCGGAGTACATAATCTGAAAAGTAGGTCACACTGACCTAGTTTTGAAATTTTATGGCTATGTATAAATATTCCAGATACTAATTGGCCAAAAATCATGGAACTTTGTCAGTTGATACATGTTGAGATCTCGGAGTACATCAACTGAAAAGTAGGTCACCATGACCTAGCTACTTTTGGAATTCTATATTTAAATATTCCAGGTACTAATTGGCTAAGAATCATTAAATTTTGTCACTTGATTCATCTTGAATCCTCAGAGTACATCAACTGAAAGGGGATCCAAGTTTGTTCAAATGAAGGGGGAGATAATTAAGAAAATAATAATGTTGGGTTGGGTCATTTAAAATTTTCTTCTCAAGAACCACTGGGACAGAAAAGATGAAACTTATATGAAAGCTTTCTGACATGTTTTTTCAAATCATGACCCCGGAGCTAGGTTTGGGCCACTATTGGCAATCAAAGTTCAATATGGTTATAAAAGGAAAAAAATCTTTAAACAATCTTTTAAAATCTTCTTCTCAAGAATAGCAAATTAAGCCATGATCATGCAGTCATATTTATATAGAAGCATCCCCAAGTAGTTTATATTCAGGTTTGTTCAAATCATGATCCCCTTGGATAGGCTGGGGCCACTATGAGTGAACAAAGTTTTACATAGAAATACACAGGAAAAAATCTTTAAAAATCTTTTTCCCAGGAACAGCAAAGTCATGATTAGTCATATATATTTGAAAGCATCCTCGGGTAGTATAGATTTAATTTTGTCCAAATCATGACCCCTGGGGATAAGGTGGGGCAACAATGGGCAATCAAATTTTTACAAAGGTATACATAGAGAAAATCTTTCAAAATCTTCTATAGAACAGCAAAGCCATGACAGATCATATTTATATGGAAGCATCTTCATGCAGTGAAGATTCAAGTTTGTTCAAATCATTCCCCTGGGGTAGGGTGGGACTACAATGGGGGATCAAAGTTTTACATTTATTGAATGATTTTTCCTGATTATTTCCATGTAAAACTTTGATTGCCCGTAGTAATTGAGATTTGAACAAATTTGAATTTACACAACCTGAGGATGCTTGCACATAAATATGATAAGTCAATCCTTTTCTATTCTTGAGAAGTTTTTGAAAGATTTTACCTATTTATATCAATATAAAACTTTGCCCATAGTGGTCACACCCTACCCTTAGGGGTCATGATTTGAACAAATTCGAATCTATGCTATCTGATAATGCTTTTTATATTTATATATGACTAATCAGGACTTTGCTGCTTGTGAGAAGAAGATTTTGAAAGATTTTTCTCATTTAACCCATCTAAATTTTTGATCACCCAAAGTGGCCACAACCCTACCCCCGGAGATCATGATTTGAACAAAATTAAATCTACACTTTGTAAGGAAGTTTTCACATAGGTTTCATCTTTTCTGGCCCATGGTTCCTGAGAAAGATATTTTTAAATGACCCCCACCCAGTTTTTACATTTTTTTTAGTTATCTCCTCTTGGAAGAGGGAGTGGCCCTTCATTTGAATAAACTTGAATCCCCTTAACCCAAGTATACTCTGTGCCAAGTTTGGCTGAAATTAGCCCAGTGATTCTGGAGAAGAAGGCAACATTGTAAAAAGTTTACTACAATGACAGACAAGGGACAAATTTTGAGAGAAAAGCTCACTTGGGCCTTCAGCTCAGGTGTGCTAAAAAGCTTTTGTTAAAGTATTACATGTACATTTGGATTTGTATTCATTTTATCACTTTTGGTAGAAAGCATTTGATTAAGTACATAGCTAAAAGCTAAATGTTTATACATGTATAATTATATATATTAATATCTAACACATTCAGAAATGCTTTATAATTTCAAAACTACATTGTTAAATAATCAATTTCTGCCAAACATCGTACATGCTAAATATGATGCATTTGAAGTACACAATGATGATTATAGAGTCCTTGTCAAACTGTGAAATAAGTCCCAGCCAATTCCAGATGGGCCCAACATATTATTGCATGAAAAACGCATGTCAAGTGACCATCAAAGCCCTTGTTTCAAATTGTGACCAAGGTGGAGCTGGAGTGAGGATAAGATACAGAATGAAAAATTTACCATAGAAAATATAGGAAAATAAAATTTTTTTGAGAGTAGGAGGGCCTAATTCAATCATATTCATATACAAACATTCCCAGGTCCTTTGGATTCAATTATAAACTCTAGGGGTCTTAAATTATTGGGAATAAAATTTTACATAATACATTTACATGTATACAGTAATAAAAATTATATCATTTCAAGAAAAGCAAGGCCAAGTTATTCATATTGATATTCCTCATCTCTATATATAGTGTGGTTAAGTATGACCCTTTCATTGCTAGGGTGGGGCCACAATATGAGGTGAAAATTTTACATCAGAATACAGTAAAACATGCTTATAGTGACCATGCTTAAAATGAACTGATGCATATAGCAAACCTATTGTCATTTGACTTTAAGTTATTTGTACTGTGACTTAACATATATAAAGAATTACACTTATAATGAAGTAAAATTGTCTGTCCCTGGCACTTTGTTATAAGCCTGAATTTCTGTATAGAGGGCAAATTTTTTACAAATCTTCTTCTGAAGAACATCAGGGCCAAGGTGACTCAAGTGAGTTTTGTGACCCAAATGGGTACATTTTCCATAGGCAACAAATTAACATCCTCTCCTAATTTTTGTTGAAGGATGTGGCACCCCTCTTTCCATAACAGTCGCCCATGTGGCGCAGTGGTTAGAGTGTTTGCCCTAGAGTCGCGGAGTAAAGATTTGATCCTTACGTCGCGGGTTCGAATCCCGCTGTGGGACGTGGAGACTGGTCCTTTGGATGAGACCGTATAAACCGAGGTCCTGTGTCACAGTACGTGCTGGAACGAAAAAGATCCCTCACTCGGTACTCAGGGCCATTGAGCAGTGAGTCACTGCTCAATGGCCCTGAGTACCGAGTATAGGTCAAAATTTGCAGCTCTCCACCAGCAAGTGGTGGCATCTCCATATGACTGAAAAATTCTCGAGAGGGACAGTAAACAAACAAACAAACAAAATCTTTCCATACCAATTCTAAAAGTATAATGAGAAGTATTTACCCAATATGGGCTTTTTGTTGATTATTGAAATAATTCTTTGTGTAAAAATAAACTTTAATTTGAAGTAATGAATGATTTTCATAAATTTATCCTCACAATGTACAGCATTATTTGGCATATATGATTGCAGGTGATTTGAGTGACACATCTTTCAATTCTGTGAGTGCATTGACCTCAGAGAACCTTTGGTCTCTTGTTAAGTTCTTAAAATCATAAGAAGTAAAATAATTATGACAATGTCCTCATTTTTCAATTGAAATCTTTTTTGCATGACAGTATAGAAGTTAAAACTCTATATTTTTCATTACAGATTGTGGAGGTAAAATAATAAGCCCTGGTACAGGAGGCATAATAGTGAGTCCAGGATTCCCAGAAAAATACCAAAGCAGGACCTACTGTCGGTGGACCATCAAAGCCAGCTCTCCTTTTAATGATATTCTTGTCTATTTCTACGTCTTTCACACAGAGGGTACAGGTAAATTTTTTCTTATTTAAATTCCTGGTCTAATGATTTCTCAAGCAAATCTTCTGCACTGGTTTTCCTTTAAATTATAAGTTCACCTTAGTCAGAGTCTCAAGTGAGCTCTTCTGATTGAAGTTTATTCTTATCAAATTTTTCAGTTTTTTTCCAAAACCACTTGGCTAATTTTAACCAAAGTAGCCTTGGTGAAGAGGATTTAAGTTTCTTCAAATGAAGGGCAAGAGAAGATAATCAATAAATATTACGTGTTAAAGATGAAGTATGGAGTCATAAAAAAAAAATTGACATTAGGGCCCCACATCATGTTGTTGTTGCTCTATAGTTATCATCATGCTGTCTCTGATAGTCAATTTACACTTTTAGGAAAGGCAATATCTTCTTTTATTTTCCCTCGGATTGAAATGTTTGGATTAAAATGTCACATTTTCTTTGGTTTAAATGTGACATGATTACAGTCTATATTTCTATGTACGGCAGGTGAGAATATCTGGCAATATGGCCATGCAATGCATTGTGTTTATAATGTTCTTATATTTGAAATCATTTATTACAGAAATCACCTTCCATAATATTTTTCTCTTGAAATTAGAGTAGCGAACCCTTCTAAGAAATGACATCAGATATGTTTTGCTGCATCACAAGAGATGATAGTGTTGAGACTCACTCAAATGAGAAAGGAAAAAATGTTTAAAAATTAAAATAGAAACAAATTATTAATTTAAAGTACAAAGGTGCCTCAAAGATTTTTCAAGAAAACTTCACAGTAAAAGGTGGGATTGAAAATTTTGAAGGGCTCTGACTGTGTGAAATTGGACTTGATAGTGGAGATGTTTTCAGACTTGATAGTGGAGATATTTTGTGGACTTGATAGTTGAAATGTTTTGAGACTTGATAGTTGAGATGTTTTGGGCACTTTATTAACAGAATTAAACTAATAATATGTTGTTTTGAATTATTTTGATCAACACTTCTTGCAGGCCCATGGCGCTGAAGGGAGTTGGAGGTTGTTCCCACTCTTGTGCTATAGATACTTTATCATTCAACCATTGTGCCCCCTTCTCCACCCCACCCCCACCACATATACATTTTTTATTGCAATAGGGGGAAAGTGTGCCATATTATTGCATGAAAAAAAATGACCAGAAATTTAGAGGAGGATTCTTCACCCTCATTACTCTCTTTTTTCTTCATTACTCTCTAATGGATAAGCATTGTGAATTTTATTTGGGAACTGAAAATATGTCATACCCTTGACCCAAAGTAATGTGACAAGTTAAAGGTTACTGGCAGAAATATAAAATCCTTGTCAGATCCACACCTTTTTAATGGAGAAACACTGGATGTCCATGTCCATATTTCACTTAAGGATTACTTATGACCAGATGATATGTCATTTTTTCAATCAAGGTCATTTTAGCAAGTTCAAAGTCACATTCAGTGGCATATATTCCATATAGGCAAAAAGGCTATAACCTACACGTCATTTTCTCAGGGATAAAAATTGGGTTGAAAAAAGGGGGGCAGAAAAGTTGATAATTATGGTGGCATATTTCTGCCCCATGTGTGCAAGTTATTTTTCTGTCAAATATGTCGACATGCAAGATAAATATGTTGACATGCAAGATAGTTATGTCAACATGCAACATAACTATGTTGACATGCAAGAAAATTGCAATCAAATAAGAATTATAAAAATCTTTTAAAAATCTCAAATATTGCCCACATGTGATTTCCAATATGCTAGATGCTACTTATTTATGTCGACATCCAAGTTATTTATGTTGACATGCGAAATAAATATGTTGGCATGCAAGTTATTTATGTCAACATGCAATTTAGGTATGTTATCATGCTACTTATTTATGTCAACATGCAACTTATTTATGTCAACATGCAATTTGTTTATGTTAACATGCAACTTAGTTATGTTGAGTAGCGGATATATACGACATATATAATTTTAAAGAAGTAAATATCTAAAAATGAAATCACAAATCGATGTAAATGTCTGAAGACCCAGGAATGGCGAAAAAAGTTTATAGTGAATATGATCGTTTTGTGATTTCATTTTGGATATTTACTTTCTTAAATATGATAGATTTTCAAAATGATAAGATTTTGAATTAAATGATTAAATTTAAATGCAAAAGAAATTATGTGATACACAATTTGAACATTTGTGCGAGTGTGCATATTCGTTACTACCCAAGACACGTGCAATGAGGCACGGTTCTGATTGGTTTTTTTTTTTTTTTTTTGTCGGTAAAATTGAAGTTGATTTTAATTATCGAAAATTTATTCAAGCAAATGTGGCAGTTTAAATTATTTTTTATAATATGAGGTGGACAACAAAGTATAAATTGAATTTCCTTAGATAAAATGTCCTGGCGATTCGGAAACGTGACCGCAGATTATAAAACGTTTTAGGGCCCCTCTCTGCGGGCGACCTAGTATAGTAATTCGTGTGTCCGTCTGTCCATTTGTTCGTCCGAGGTCTCTTTTAAAGGATGTGCGGTGACCTTGAACTGTTTCAAGGTAAGGTTAAAGTCATAGCAGAACTGTATCTGAAAAATGCATGTAAACATAAATAAGTTGCATGTCGACATAAATATGTTGCATGTCGACATAATTATCTCGCATGTCAACATAACCAACTTGCATGTCGACATAAATAAGTTGCATGTCGACATAAACAAGTTGCATGTCGACATAAATAAGTTGCATATCAACATATTTATCTCGCATGTTAACTTAAATAAAATGCATGTTGACATAAATAAGCAGCATCTAGCATGTTGTATGCCACATGTGGACGATATTTGAGATTTTTGAAGATTTTTTATAATTTTTATTTGATTGCAATTTTCTTGCATGTCAACATAGTTATGTTGCATGTTGACATAACTATCTTGCATGTCAACATATTTATCTTGCATGTCGACATATCTGATAGAAAAATAACTTGCATACAAGGGGCAGAAATATGCCACCATAGATAATAAATCTTATCTGTTAATTTTATTTTGTTGCAAATGCCAAAAAGGCATTCTTGACAATCCGCACTCTTATACCCATACCTACAGTTTTACTTCATATTTAATGACAAAACTATTCCTTTAGCTGGAAAAAAAATTTAAGCCAAAATTCAAGTGTTATATTAAGTCTGTATCAGACAATTTCAAAACCATCGACTGCAACAGGGGTCCATGATTAGTGCAGGAAATGAAATTAATAACTGGAAATATTCTTGGTTAGTAGGAAATCAAACGCAAGCAGAGTTAAAGAATAAATTAAGAGGTCTCAAATTTGTTATGTGGTTTTCATATCAAGATTTAAACTGAAAATATGTTTTTACAAAATTATTTTCACTTGTCAAATGACAATTGTAGATGTCTTTGAGCTTGCAAAAATGCTCCCTCTGACCCCCCCCCCAATCCCTATCGAGAGGGGGTGACCCACTCCTTGCTTACCCACAGTTCGTGCCTTAAGTTAAATCTGTGACGCTAGCTTACACATTAGAATATAATAATATGTGCTACTGACATTCACAAATTGTGTATGGCACTTAAAAAAAATGCAGTGGGGGTTTAATCTTGTGGGCTAGCATACAGTGCCTCTTTTTTTTAGTTTCAAGAGATGAATTAACCACGTCTAATTATGGATGCCAAAATGCAGTATTAAGATTATATAGAGGGAACGCCCGATATCCCACACAGTATGTCGAGCCACCTGAAGAGAAGTGTGGGCAGTTGAATGGAGAGCCTTTTTTGTCTCACAATGATACGTTTGAATTAGAGTGAGTAAAACAATGTTTTCATTTTGAAGAATAAATCATTTAAGGATCTTTTTGATTTTGAAAATTGTCAGCAGAAACTGAATGGTGAGCCTGCCTCTTTTTAGAATTATCATTTTTCCTGTAAAATATCACATACTGTGATCATTTCATTTTTGTTGAATACCGATTTGCACTGTATTTGTGGTTGAACCAGGTCACAAAGTTAGCTGATCAGCAAACTACAAATTTTATTAATGGTAAAATAGGACAAGAAAGCAATCCAAGAATTTACATATTATTTAACAAAGTAGTTTTTTTTTTATGCCCCCGGATCGAAAGATCCTGGGGGTATATTGTTTTTGTCCTGTCTGTCTGTTTGTTTGTCTGTCTGTCTGTTGTCAACTTTAACCTAGCCCATAACTATTGCGCTGTCAAGGGTAAGGCTTTAATATTTGACATGAGTGTTCATTATGACAAGACCTTCCCATTGATACAGAAATTTTTGATCTTGTGACCTCAACTGTGACCTTTGACCTACATTTGAAAAACTTAAACATTGGCCATAACTATTGCACTGTAGTCTACGTCCCACTCCAGAATTGTGTTACCATCGGGGGCATAGTGTTTCACAAACACATCTTGTTTTTTTTGTTTGTTTTTTGTTTTTTTTTTTTTGCCTAAACCATAGAATTTTATCCAAACAAAACTGCGAACTAAAAACTGGAACTGGCATAAATATTATACAATACCTTGAGTTTCAGAACACAGTAAATTTCATGGGCTTAGGAACTAGAACTATAAATGTTTTTTAGACCATTTGCAGTGATCTTCAGGATTAGATGCTGAGAATGCTTAGCACAATTCAAGGTTTAATTATGAATAACATACCCTGTGACTAGTCATTAAGGTTCTGAATTAAGGATCACTTTATAATCATTAAGGAGTCCAAAAGAATTAAAGAATTTATTAAATCACCATTGAGCATTGTGAATTGGTATATATGTGTATCTTTTGCAGTTATCTATCAAATAGTATTATTAAAAAACATAGTAAATAAGTGATAGTTCAGACCTAATTCTGATTATGGTGACATTGCAAGATAGACTTGTGTGACATCTGCTCTGGAAATCATCATTTCTGGTTTCTCAGGCATGTCTCATGGTTTTCTTATTTTTTTTCTCTCTATTGAAATTGAAATAAAATATATACATGTAGTTTTCTTTTCATTATTGATAATTAATAATTATTTAATAATAAAAAGAAACTACATGTTTATATTTTATTTCAATAGACAAGAAAAAAATAAGAAAATCTGCAAAAATGGATAATACTGATGTTGTGAAATTAAATGAGACTTCTTTCACAGAAAATTATATACTGTAGAAAAAAAATTTAAACTTTAAAAAACTATGGTTATCACTTCTAAAACTTCAATATACAATAGTGATAACTTTAACTTTTTGATTTAGTATTGTGACACCTTCCTAAGTCAAGGTTTCTGATCTACCCTGCTCCTCATAAAGCCTTGACCAAATAGATTTTGATGGGGTTAGAAAGGAGCTCTCTGATTGGCCTCATACAAGATTGCATGAACCAATCAAAAACAATTTGTTTTATCTAACCTGAAACTAAATTGTAAACAGAAAAACATGCCAGTTTAATCCCAACCAAAAGTCTCAACCCAGTTAAAGGCTTGTCTCAACTTTTTAGTTAATATCTTATTTTGAATTTATTACCGGCTTCTAATATTATCTCGCATTTGCTGTTTAATTCCCTTACTCTGATTGGTCAATAGCAGAGGTCAGTAGAGTTCATAATGTGTAATCTCTTTAGAAGGCGCGATAGTAAACCCTGTCAAACTTAGTCCATTTAGTCAAGAGTTTATGTGGAGTGGAAACCCTTGACTTGGGAAGGTGATATAGTGATCACTCTAACACTATAGTGATAATTTTGAAAACTTTGATTTACTATAGTGAGTAATGTCCAAGACATGATGTAATTATGATATTGACAGATTACTTTTCTGTAGTGTGTTATAATATTTCTCTAGTTGTGTGGCTATATTAGAATACTTTGAAAGTTTCTGTTTTAAGAAGTTTTCCTTACTGTCAATATCCACAATATTGTACCGATATCGAATCATGATTGTTCAAAGGATTATGGTTTCCACCCTTAATATTTTGTTTTTTAACATGTGAGTTACTTGAAAACTATCACTTGTAAAGCTTTCCCTGTAGTGTCGATATTGTCGATATCGATGATATCGCTTCGATATCAAATCATGTTTGCTCAACTCTTGGTAAGTACCATCCCCGTTACTGTGTATGGGTGTCTATGAATAAATACTTGACCTTTTATGAAGATTGTACTTGCCATCGATGTCATCGATATGGAATCATGATTGTTAAAAACATTAGGCTTTACCAACTTTCACCCTAACACATAAACTTACCCATACCAAAATAAAGTACAAATTAGGTACGAAAAAAAAGTACAAAAAAAGGTCACAAAAAGTATACTTTTTTCGACTAAATTTGGAACAAGGGATTTGGTCGTTCCAAATTAAGTCAAAAAAAGTATACTTTTTTTGTGCTTTATGAGAACTCAGGTTCTTGGGTACAATAAAAAGATAATAAAAGTATACTTTTGGTACATTTCTATATTTGAGAAAAGTACAAAAAAAGTATAATTGGAAGTACAGAAAAAGTATATTCTTAAAACTAACATACAAAAGTACAAAAAAAGTACATCTGGAAAAAAGTACAAAAATGTATGAAGTACAAAAAAAGTATACTTCCAGTACAAAAAAAGTATACTTCCAGTACAAAAAAAGTATACTTCCAGAAAAAAGTACAGAAATGTATGAGGTACAAAAAAAGTATACTTCCAGAGAAAAGTACAAAAATGTATGCAGAAAAAGTATAAAAATAGTACTTCTTTAGAATGATGCTTAAAAAAGTACAATAAAATGTCAAAATTAAATGAAAGTACGAAAAAAGTATACTTTTTAATTGGTACAAAAAAGTAGGGAAAAAGCACCCCCCCCCCCCCCCCAAAAAAAAATATATAGCAAATACCCCCCCCCCTTTTTTTTTAAATACATATATATTATTTTGAAAGAACAATGAAAAAACCTCAAAAATGACCATTAAGCTCAGGTATACCAAAATGAAACCAATTAAAAGTACAAAATTGTATTTTGAAAGCATGAAATTTTAACAAAAATATGAATTATAGGGAAAAAAATTTCAGCTTATCTGAATATCAGAAAAAAAATCAGAGAAACTGGAAATCGGGGAAATCTCTATGAAATATTAGCTACAATTCAAAAATCTTAAATGCTAGCTTTTATCAAAATTCAGAAGCATGAAACCCCACATCTTCATTACATTATTCATTATTTTCAGTACTAATCTTCCATAAATAATTTAAAGAATATATTGGAACATTAAATCATCAATAGGATTATATAATTCTGTAAATAAGATCTGATCCTTTATAGTCTAGTAACTTATAATGCATGGTTATGTCACTGACTGATCATGCTCACAGATCATCTCTGCTCCTTCACAGTCTAGCCATCCCATCTTTCCCTCCCGTTTGAATTTTCTTGCCGACACAATTCAGTGCACTAACCTTTGACCGCATAGCAGTGTTAATGTCACCCATTTTTTCACTGATCTTCATTTAAATATGCTAAATGATTTCAGCCTTCAAGTACTTTTCCTTGGGTTCTGCAAAAAAAAGTTTAATAATCAAAGCATATTTTTTTCAGTTTTAAATCAAACATGTTCTCAAAAAGCAGCATTCCTGTGCTTAATACATGGCAGACTGACATATAGAATCATATATTCAGTTTAATATTCAAATAACTTGAAAACCAATTAAAACTCAAAATTCTTATGTGAAAATCCAAAAAATTAACCCCCGATCATCCCTATCACTTACAAAGTTTTAAAATAAGTCTTTTCAGTCCACGAGTATATTAAGGACAGACAAGCCTACTAATTTGGTACGTCTATTTTGTAATTTACAGAAATCAAATTAGATTAATATGTACTTACTGATGATAAGATACACTTAAATCGTTGAAGCATTTTCCTATGGCTCTGCATGTTAGTGAGATGCTCATGGCAAAAAACACATGCATGCACTGCTGAAAATTATAAAAGAAAAATCAGGTAACTTGAATGTTTAAGAACTTCTCCGGTATTACATCCACACACAAACATTTAATTATTTTCATTTTTTTAAACCTGACAATGATTTTGAAAAATTGAAGTGAGTTTGATATCCCTGTCTAAATTCCTAATGTTATATGAGCAAATAGAAAAATAATCATGTGTCTCAATATTATGTTTATATACCCCCCCTCCCCCCTTTTAAGTTCTTTTCACCCTGGAAAGATGATCAGTATAACTATCCAGTTCAACTTTAAATTTTTCAGACAATGATTTTGAAAAATTGTAAAGTGAGTTTGATATCCCTGTCTAAATTCCTAATGTTATATGAGCAAATAGAAAAATAATCATGTGTCTCAATATTATGTTTATATACCCCCCACCCCCTTTAAGTTCTTTTCACCCTGGAAAGATGATCAGTATAACTATCCAGTTCAACTTTAAATTTTTCAGATACATGTAAATGCTGATACTTTTTGCTTGTTTAATCAACCACATGATTATTACTACCCCTTCACTCCCCCCCCCCCCCCCCCCCCACCACCACTACCAACCACAACACACAAACGATCCTCCCTTTTAACATGTTTAACAAAAATCCATTACTTTTACAAACTTTAATCTAACAAAATTCAGTAGATTTGATATGTATTTTTTTCATCATGCCAAGACTTAGCTAGGCTACAGTAAATGTTCCCAGCTGATACTGACCAATGCTGACTGTATTATAAACCTATTGCATGAATTATACTGAAATATTTGAAGAATTGAATTTGTCAAGGAACTAAATGATTCATGTTACATTGAGCCAGAGAAAAAGCATGTTTCAGTATGTTAACTTAAGTTTATATACATCGTCATACTGATCAAAACAAACCAGAAATCGAAGACACAAATGTCCACAATTACGTAAAATCTACATTGAAATTCTCCACTGAATACATTTCTAAAGTGGTAAAATGCATTTCCTGCTAACAACATATAAAATTTAAATATAAATATAGTCTTACCGACTTCTTTATCTCCTTTTTGTTCTCGGCATTTCCATCCCACCAATTTTCAAATCGTCTCTGAAAAAATCCGCGCTTCGTCGTTGACCAATCGTAGACTTCGTAAGAATCACGTGATCAAAAAAGGAAATAAATAATTACTAAATTAGTTCATAAAAACACAAAAAACTCCCGTAATAATGTTTTTTAAGTCATCAAATTTATTTTATAGCCGTTTTCTATGTAATACTCGATAGGTAGCTTTACCATCATCGTGATCGCCAGTACGTTTTATGATCGTCGTCGCCATTTTGTTTGTTTGTTTGTTTTTAATGAAATTATTTTATTTAATAAAGCCGCAAGAAATTCTGAATGCCCTTGTTAACTGCTAAAACATCCTAATCAAACTGACAGTCTTCATTCTCAATGTCGAAATATCTGTTACAGCATGGAATTTTGCACATGCTACTTAAATAAATCGTGTACATGTAAACATGACGAAGTTCCTTGTGATAAATAAAACGATGGGCAGGCTTTTGTATTTATATTCGTGCCTTCCTATTTCCGTTTTTAATTATTAACTCTATTGTAATCGTAGCAGAGCAGAGTTATGGTTGCAGTTTAGATGCAATCACTTAAACAGCACTTAGACATTGGCAATTAGGAAAATATTAAATACATTTTATAAAATAATACATAAATTCTTTATAGCTCTTCAACTGACTGGAAAGAGATGAGTTTGATAGACTATTATTTTGTTTAAAATTTAAAAAAAAAATTGTTAGGTTACCTGAATCACACAATTGACCTTTTGCTATCTTCAAATTCATGTTCGACGCCATTGAAGCCTTTCAGGCTTTTGATTTTTTTGTTAGGTTTGAGACTATTATAATTGGAAGTTGTTCTGAGAATTAACCTAATATATCTTTTCATTGATAGATTTCTAACTTCCAGTAGAGCCCTTGGTGCCAAAGGATTCAAAATCACCTGGACAGAAGTACATAAAGAAGGAGGTATACAGCATATATAACATTTTATAATTAGGGCCCCGCAAGGATTTGCGGGTGCCCTATAGTAATCACTCTGTCTGTCTGTCTGTCTGTCATTCTTCCGTCCACAAATTTTCTGTTTTTTTTCTAATAACTTTTTTTAGGGTTGACCAATTAAGTTCAAATTTGGTATGTTGGTTGAATAGGCAGTAAGACATATTTTGATGCTAAGTTTGGTTCTCTATGTCATTCGGTTTGGAGCTGGGGTGGTGGGGTATATTCCTTTATATAAGAGTGAATGGGCAAAGAGAGATAACTGCTGAGAACGTTCCTATTGTAAACTATGAAAGGCTGCAATGAGTCTCTTGGGATTAATTAACTTTCCTCTTGAAGAAAATCCAAAGCATTTATCTTTATCTGCCACATTGAGATTAATTAACACCTCTGTCTACAAATGAAGTTTGTTTTGATGTTAAGGTCAATTCTGAATGATGTTTACATTCTCTGAAATGTGAATTTAAATAATGTTCATACTTTATTTTGGTAAAATACACAAAGTTATGATTTTAATGAATTCTAAAAACAAGATATAGATAAAGATATCGTTTTTATTATTATTTTCTTTTATCTTTTTTTTTTCTTTTTTTCTGCCGTATGTAAATTCAAGAATACTAATTATTTTAACAGGTATTCAGATAATAACCTCATTCTATCATTGCTGAAAAAGTTCTTATTGTAAACTTAGAAGAAAAGGTTGAGAGAGCAGTATAATTAATCCCGTGGGTTTGATTATCTTGCTGGTTTGCAGAATAATTTAGAGGGTTATCTTTCTGTCACTTTAAGATTAATTAATACCTTTGTCTGCAGCTGATATTTGTTTTGAAGTTAAGGTCAAGCCTTGGTGATATTTGCATTCACTGAAGGCTGGCATTTTAGAAAACACATGCTTCATTCATTTTTAAATATGCATTTAATTGAGTTATTATAGATATGATGTTTTTTACTGCCTTATGTAAATACAAGGATACTATTTACAGATTGTTGGATATTTAGCAGTTGCTTATTCTTTATATATTTTGAAATTTTTTGGAATCAAGTAAAATTCTCTTCCCATAATCTGCACCCTTATATTTCTAACCCTTGGCGGGGCCCTTGCTGACTGGTCAGATTTCTAGTATTTATTTTAAGCTCGCCTGAGTTATATATAAGCTTGAGTAAGCTTTTCTGATCACTTTCTGTGTCTGTCCATCCATCCATCTGTAAAGTTACACATTTTTAGCTCACCTCAACAAAGTTGGGAGAGCTTATGTAATACCCTCGGCGTCAGCATCGGCGTCCCAGGTTAAAGTTTTTGGAGCAGTTTTCTTTTCAAGTACTTCTACGCCCTATATCAATCAGAGATGCATGAAGGATGCTTCTAATGTGTTTCATTGTACCAGTCAAGGTTTCAGATGCTGCAATTTCAGCTAAAGAATGACCAGGTTAATGTTTTTGGAGCAGGTTAAAGTTTTTGGTGCAGGTTCAAGTTTTTGGAGCAGGTCTCATTTCAAAGTAACCATAGTCCCTGTATTGATTAAACTTGCATGGATGATACGTCTAAGGATGCACACTACTGAACTTACTTCGGATGCTACATTTTCTGGATGAGTGACCAGGTTAAAGTTTTTGGAGCAGGTCTCATTTCAAAGTAATTATAAGCCCTATATTGACCAAACTTGCATGGATGATACATCTAAGGATGCCCACCACTGGACTTGCTTCAGATGCTGGATCTGACCTACATTTTCTGGATGAGTGACCAGGTTAAAGTTTTTGGAGCAGATCTCATTTCAAAATAACTATAAGCCCTATATTGACCAAACTTGCATGGATGATACATCTAAGGATGCACACTACTGGACTTGCTTCGGATGCTGGACCTGACCTACAATTTCTGGATGAGTGACCAGGTTAAAGTTTTTGGAGCAGGCCTAAAAAATTATGTTTGTTTCCTGTAACATTCCCAAAAAATCAAGGGCTGGTAGGTCGGGATTTTTTTTTTTTTTTTTTTTTTTTTTTTTGCTTATGGATAATAGGGTCAAACATCCCCAGACTGAATTAACCAGGTGTTATATATAAAGTGGACACCCAACATGGCTGCCTAGCGGCAGAAAACAAACTTCGAAAAGTTGTGGATGAAAATTGTTGTTACAATAATGATTACTCCTTATATTCAAGGTAAATGTTGACTAGGATGCCATATTTTATATCTCAAATAAAGCTATAATTAATATTTTTTGAATAAATGGAATCAGCTGATTGATCGAACCAAAGAGCAAATGTAGATTTGGCAGAAAAAAAATCCGACCGGGGGTAAATTGAATGGGTCGGTCGGATTACAGGAAACAAACATTTTTTTTAGGTCGCAGATCTCATTTCCAAGTACTTATAAGGCCTATCTGAACCAAACTTGCATGGATGATGCATCAAGGGACAAACACTCTCTAACTTGCTTCAAATGCTGGATTTGACTTGCATTTTCTGGATGAGTGACTAGTTTTAAGTTTTTAGATAAGTCCATTCCCAAGCGGCAAGCCATATCAGACCAAAATTGCATAAATGTTGCATCTAGGGATGCACACTACTAGATTATTAGTTTAGTGTGGGACTTTGCCTTACTTAAAGACAACATTCATTGAGGTGAGCTCTGTAATCTCTGATTACCTATGTTTTTCTTCTGAATCAGATTTGCAATGAGACATCCTTGGGTAAATTTCATATGCTAATACAAATTTTCATGTATTATTACTAATGAACCGTGGGAGGGGCATTCATGTTCTGTGGACATTTTCTAGTTAAATTTATGTTGTGATAACAAGTTGCTGCCATTCAAAAATGACTGCAATACGTGGACCATAGGTCTGTGTTTCTTGAAAAAGAAAATTTTATGGCTGTATTTAATATTTTCGGGTACTATTTGGCTTAGATTCATCAAACTTTGTCAGTTGATGCATCTTGAGTCCTTAGAGTACTACAACTGAAAAGTAGGTTACTGTGACAAACAATTTATATGACTATAATTAAATATTTCAGGAACTAATTGGCTTAGAATCATCAAACTTTGTCAATTGATGCATCTTGGGTCCACAGAGTTAGTTGACTGAAAGGAGGTCACTGTGACCTATTTTTGAAATTTTATGGCTTTATTTAAATATATCAGGTACTTATTGGCTTAGAATCATCAAACTTTGTCAGTTGATGCATCTTGGGTCCTCAAAGTATGTCATAAAAGTAAGTCATTGTGACCTACTTTTGAAATTTTATGGTTATAATTTTAAAAATATTTTAGGTATTAATTGGCTTAGAATCATCAAACTTAGTTGATGCATCTTGGGTCCTCAGAGAATGACAAGTGATAAGTAGGTCACCATGACCATAGGTACTAATTGGCTTAGAATCAGCTTGGGTTCTCGGAGTGTTTCATCTAAAATGTAGGTCATGATGACCTACCTTTGGAATTTCAAGGCTTTATCTAAATATACAGGATACTTAGAGGCTTCAAATAGAAGTGATAGGTTGTACAGTTAATCAGAAGAGCAGTTCAAGGCCCTTGGGCCTCTTGTATGATGAAGGAATCCAGTGTGATGCTCTGCAGCCACAACAGTTTCTATACAGAGATTTTGCGCTTTCCTTTGCTTAGGATTTTACAACAGCTGTATTGCATCCTTGGACGAGTTCATTGCTTACTCTGAAAGCTGACACAGGTTAACCCATCATTTACATTTTCTACAATTGTCTAACTAGTTTGAGTGATAGTATTTTAATAGCACGCAATTAATGTTAAATTCTATTTATGATAGGTCTATAGTTTTTTTAATTTAAAATCGGGCTTTCTTTGGTAACCTATAACGACTGGGACTTGTTTTGGACTTGTACAGAAGATTCTATCATGGGAAAGATACACATGCAGCACAGATCGACATGTGTCATGCGGAATTTTTTCATAGCCCCCCCCCCCCCCCCCCCCACACTTTGAAAAACTGCAACAGGCCTGTAAGAAGCTATTTGGATTGCTTTATTTCAAATGTTGCGGTGTCATTTAGTAAATAGTAATAAGTTAGTATAAATTATAAGTTAGTTAAATTACATGTATATTTAAAGTACGTTTATATTAGATAAGAAAGTAGTGAAAGAAATCAGGCGATAGAAATTGATCACTAGTAAATTAAGCAGGGATAATCCCAGCACTTTTCTAATCAAAATTTATTAATCACAGTACTTCTTTTTATGAAATCTGAAAAAAAACACCGAATATTCGAATCTTAAATTCATATTCGAATATCAACTAATCGAATGAATATTCGAATATTCGTTGCCATCCCTAGTTTATATGGAAAAATACTTCGATCATAATAGAAACAACATCCACTATGCTTCATAGAATATTCCTGAAAATGAGTGATGTACTTAATACAATGCAGATTAATTATATCAATTTTAAGTTCTATATATGAGTTTTAGACTTAAAAGAAATTAAAACTATTTCAGGCATGTGCAACTCCCTCATAAAGTCACTACATGCATGTATATATGTACATGCATTTTGTTTCCTAGTACAAGTATTTTATTCAATACAGGTGCGGATCCGGGGGGGGGGGGGGGGGGGGGGGTTCCACTACAGTCAAAAAAAATTTCCAACCCAAAAATTTCTTGACAAGCAAAAAAAAAAAAAAAACAAAACCCTAAAATCCATTTCCCAAATATGAAAAACAACTATTTCATGGTGGTGATATTGGGGTCCACGTTTTCTAGGGGGGTCCAAAGTCTTTTTTTATTAGCTTAAGTATATACTTTTAATACCTCTGCAAATTCAAAGGGGGGGAGGGGGGCAGGGTTGTCTCTAAGACCCGGGGACCGGGGAATTTCCCCGCCGATAATGATGTAATCCCCCAGTTATTTTGGTATTCCTCCTAAACTCCCCAGTAAGGGAGGAACCCCAGTTCCCCTTCTACTTTTTAAATGTCCCCTTCTATTTCAATGACCTC